GCGGGCGTGTGCCCCTAAGCTACGCCGCATGCCTGCGACATACGTCGCTCGCCCCTTCACCTGTCCATCATGTCAGTTCCCACCTCTGACTGGTCTCTTCAGGTGCAGCCATGGCCGCCACAATGGTTTTGACGATGCTGTGGAAGCGTGTGATCTGCACGTCAATGTCCGTTTTGGCGATCTCTGCCTGTCTTGGCGGCTGACCCAGTGTTCCAGCTCACGGCGTGGGACATTGAGTCGATTCTGCCGGCGGCTAGCCTTGCGCGATAGCGATTCGTGGTCGAGCCACTTTGTCTTTGTAGGTCGCCGGCATGACCGTGGGGTGTGGCCCACGCAGGTTACCAGTGACCTATGACGGCGGTCGCTTAAGCGGGTTGCTTGCCTGCGGCACCGGTCTTCGCACTCCTTATCTGGAAGCCACCCTCGCATGCAGTGGGCCTTGGACTTTTGGACTTGGTGTGCTCGATCGTGATGGAACAAAACACAGGGGTTGTCCGTTGTCTGGCGAGACTAGAACGGCAGCCGGAGCCTGGACTTGGCTCCACCTGTTGTTTTGGGCAGCTCTGAGCGACGGCTCATTGTTGCTCCTGACCGGTCGCTGAGGCTCCGTAGTTTGTGCTGAACGGCTAACACCGGCAAAGCCTGTGCGCCGCAGCCCTCCGTAGAGCTTCGCTTACTGTTTCACCGCTTTGTCGTAGTTTGATGTTTGGATTGTAGTTTTGCTTGTTTGTAGGGACCGAGAGCTACATTCGTAGTCGACGAGGCCCAGTCAAGCCAAAAAAAAGGGTGCCAGTTCCTCAACCGTTATCAAGCCGGAGCACCGCTCCAGGTGAGCACTTGCGCGCAGCAGCCCCCGCCGCCGCCGAGGAGCCCGCCGAGGCACCCATGGAGCCCGCCGCCGCTGCTGCCCCCGAGAAGATCCTGGAGCCTGCCGCCGAAGCACGGAGTCTGCCGCCGCCACGGAGCCCGCCGAGGCCGAGGCACCCACGGACTCCGCCGAGGCAGACTCCGAGGACTCCGAGGAGAGCGACGACGTCCAGAGGGTGCGCATCTTGGGCGACGCCGGCTTCGACATCCTGCTTGGCGATCAAGAGCACGCGCAGGTCTCCGACGACCTCATTTACCAGGCCGGCGTGCTCATGAAGACCTTGAGGCAAAAGGCTCATTGTCCGAAGACCATTTGTGGAGGCAGCTCTTGTTGATTTTTGAAAGTTGCGACTCTAATGCGATGCTGCCTTGGTTCAGCTGTGTTCCGAGTGCAAATAATCCAATTCTCGTGCTAAGGCAACTTTGCAAGCAAAGGAGCGAGTGTGCAGAGTGTCGCCTCGTTGTTCGATTGTGGCAATGCCACGATTGATCTCTTTAAGTGAATGGAGTGTTCTTTGGCGATCCATCGTGTTCGCTTCGATCAGTGCGGAGATGTCACGACTTCTCCTTCCGGCTTTGCAGGAAGGAAGAAGCGTGTGGCAGGTTGAGCAATTTTCTTATGTTTATGATTCTGTTTTCCCATATAGCTTTGGGAACAATATGATTGGAATATCCGATACGAAATAATTAGAGCAAAGCTCCAAGGAAAATAAGACACATGAGGCTTGCCTCTAATAGCTTTAATTGTTCTGGGAGAGTTTTGAAAATTCTTTGCTTTGTTTTCGAAGAAAGCTGAAAAGTGGAAATTTGAGCTTCTCAACGTTCGAAAGTTTGAAACACGGGCACAAACGGAGGAAGGATAACGGAGGCCGTCAGTGCGAGCGCTGATAGTCCCTTAATATCTTGAGCGTGAATTTTCTTGAAAAATCGGGCCTGGATTTTTAAAGAAAATGGCTGCCAAAAGTTTTCTGTTGTGTGAGCGCCGAGTGTTGCTATATTGCATCTTCTGTCACCCGCGCTCGTCATCTCAAGGCATCTCGAAGCCGGTTTTGCATAAACGTCAGTGACACTATGCTGGACTTCACTGAACAAGCCACAAGTCTTGCACATGTAAGGTTGCAGAAATTTTTCTTTCGCCGGGTCGTCCCATGGACTTCGGCGACGCCCTCGCCGCCGGTTCTTCAGGCCGTTCCGAGGACAGCTCTACCAGCACCCGCGAGCTCCACAGTCAGCACATTTACGAACTCCAATTGGAGGTCAACGCCCTCCGTGCTGAAATCCAAACTCTCAGGTCAGCATTGCAAGCTTTGGAAGAGTCCCTTGCTCGTGCCTGGGTGAACCAGACCGGCCACCACCAACGTCTCTCGTGGCTCGAAGGGATCATTCAGAGCTTGAGGGCTGCCTGTCGGGTATTTCTTGAGCCTGGCGTGCAGTCTGCCTCAGATTAAGCCCTGAATACCTTTAGTGCCAGCATCTTGCAGCAACTTGCTGGTGTCACCCGCGAGCAGCTCGACGGTGTCTTGCCTCCGGCGCAGGCCACTTTTGGGCCCCCTGACCTTCCCTTTGCACCCGTGCCCGATCTTGGGGATGCCTTTCCTGCAAATCCATCTCCTGCATCTGCTTCTGCGGATAACTGGGGGTTTGTAGGATTTACTGGTGACTTCGAAGGGTTTACCGATGACTTCACAGCGCCTGTCTCTGAAGTCGAAGTCCAGCAGCAAACTCACGAGTTTCCACCTTCCCCTCCCGTAGGGTTTAACCCCAATCACTTCGAGGCCCATTTAGCATCCCTCTGCGAGCCAGATGAGCAAGCCCCTTCCCTTTCCCTTTTGGGGTCGGGAGATGAAAACACTGCTTGGTATGAAGATGTTAGGGCCATGAGTGAGTCGCATTTTTCATTGGTGCCAAGTGCCAGCAAAAGAGACTTTGGAGAAGAGGTCCGTCCTGGTAGGATTGCTCGTGCTGTGGGCGATGAGCGCTCACGTACTGCCGTGGCATCTCCTGCCCTGCCTTGGGAGAGAGGAGTCTTCAGAGCCATCTTTGGGGATGAGGGCTTAACTAATCCCTTTGATAACCTTGTGCTTAAGATGCCTGGCCCCTTAGTCCCAGCACATGTGCCGCCGGCGGAGCCAAAGATCCCTGAGCCTCCCATACCTTCAGCTGACATCGCGAGCAGGGCATTCAAATCCTTCAAGGATGTACATCCGAGCGACGAGCGTGATATGGTCATGGACCGAGCGGTGTGCAAACTGCAGCACATCATTTGCCGCACCGATGTCGACCGTTTGTCACCTGAACTTGCACAAGCAGCCTCTTCCAAAGATGCAACAGACGAAGTGTTTGGCATCGTATCAGCTTGTGTAGGTCTTCGTAGTCCTCACACGGTTGTGAAGCGCGCCAACGCGATCCTTGCATACTTGAGATGGTGTGACAAGGAAGGTTACGAGAAGCCATTTTGTGAGGATTCTGTGTGGAGCTTCATTTCTTACTTGAAGAAAGAGAAGGCAGCTCCGACCCGTGCAGCCTCCCTCATTTCAGCTTTGCGCTTTGCGAACTTCGTTCTGGGGCTGAGTGTGTCCGAGGTTCTTGCGAGCCGTAGAATTCTGGGCCTCAGTGCCCAGCTGGGTGTCAAAAAGAAGGCGACCAACCGAGCCCGGCCTCTCAAGGTGTCAGAGGTTCGCTTCATGCATGGCGTGCTAGAGGACGAGAGTGCACCAATCTGGGACCGAGCCATCTGTGCCTACCTTCTTCTTGCACTCTACGCAAGAGCCAGACACAGCGATTTGGTTCTTGTAGAAGAAGTGATAGCAGACTTTGATCGCCAGTGCAGCGGATACCTGGAGATCCGCCTCAGATTCCATAAGACGGCACAAACCATTGCAAAGAAAAATGATTTGTTGCCGGTTATAGTTTCAAGTAAGGGCATCGTGAAAGGCGACTGGCTGGGGTTGGCTACTGATGTATTTGAGCGCGTGGGCCTCACCTTGGATGGGACTGTCGGCGCGGGCCTCTTCAGGCCCTTTAGGCCCGGTGATGCTGCCCCAGGTCGACGAAGCCTAAGGTCGTCGGAGTGCGCAACCATGTTGAAAATGGTCCTTGAGCGGGCTGGGTCAGATGTGTCAATGGTCACATCTCACTCGTTGAAGAGAACCCTGCTTGATTGGGGCTCCAAGTTTTGTCTTGATGACGGGATTTTGGCTTTGCTTGGGCGTCACAGTAAGTGTGTCAAAGGAAGCGTGCCCGTCTATGCTAAGGAGGAAGCCTTGAAAGCTGTTAGGGCTCTTGAGCCTATGTGCCAAGCAGTGGCCGCAGGATCGTTCCACCCAGATGCTGCCCGAGCCTTGTACTTTACAGATCCCCCAGCACCAACTGTGGTGCCACAAGCGCCCGAATTCAGGGCGGCTGTCAAGGCGAAGGTTGAAATCATCAATGATTCAGCGTCCGAGCGGGCTGAGTCCGAGGGGCAGCATTCTTCAAGTAGCAGCGAAAGCAGCGATTCCGAGTCACAAGACGACTCCGACTCGTCGTCCGAGTCAATTGCGCCGATCAAAGCGCCCCGCCTGGAAATCGAGCAGTGGGATGCCGCCGACTGTGTGGCCAATTCCAGGACCAGGACCCTTCACCTCTTGAAATTTGTGTCTGGAGGTGGAAATCTAATCGCCACATGCGGAAGGACCTCAGAGGTCATGGTTCAAGCGGCGCAAGCACATATGAGTTTCCGGAGGTGTCGCGCTTGTGTGCGGATTGGGAAGCGCTGAAGGCTAGATGCCGACTTTCCGCCTTTTTGGCGAAGGGCGAAGTGCCAGGACCTAGAAGGTCTTTGATTGCGATTCGAGTCCAGTTAAAGAGTGATCGTCTGCAGTGGGACATGTTGTTGCCAGGGACAGTGAAGCGCGGCAGTGTGCTGAATTAGACTCCGCTTGACTTGCAGTTTTGTGAGTGCAGTGCGAACATTGAGTTACTGCAGTATTGGCCGAGGATAAAACATGTTTTGATCATGTCATGAAGTTCATGTTGTGTTCTTCTCGCTTTATCTTAGATCGTGTGATGCTTTACATTACTTTCAGCTGCTGTTCAGGTACCTCGGAGTTTTGACGTGCACAGTGGACTGTCCGAAGCTCCTTTTGCTCGCCATGTCCTCGTTAATCGATAGCGGTGCACACTTTAAAAGGCGGTCGGATGAGGTCGGCCTCAGCAGTGCCGGGTGGACGATCCTTCAGGCCCTTGGCATTACCTCTGTAGGCAAGGCGGCGTACACCATCACGTCGCCAGGTGAGCCAGTCACGGAACCCATATTCCGAGATTGGGTTGCCGACAATGCTGCAGTTATGACTCTGGGTGATCAATCATGCTTGAAAAGGCTCGTGTTCGAGTCCCAGACTCTGGTCGTTGCTGAGTTGCGCGACCAAGTATCCGGGTCTCAATCATCTGCCCCTCGTCGTGTTCCCGAAGCTGAGCGCGACCGAAGACTGAACGATCTTAGGGCGGCCCTCCCAGGCATCACGCTGGAGGGCGTGAACATGCCAAGCAATGCCCTGTTGGATTCATGTTGTCAGCAAGAGCGAGACAACTTGCTTAAGTACATCCCGCCTGAGAAGGTCACGAGCCGCACCCATGAACTCACGAATCCAAGACCGACCCATCAGGCGCTGCAGGTCGAAGCATCCAAGATAGTTCTCGAGAGTGACGCTGATGCCGTTGAGTATCAACCGGTCAATGCGCTCCAGACCATGGAGGCCCTTCGACGACGAGGTTTGGCCATGGTGTTTGCACAGATGATTTCATATGATGCCTACGATCGGTATGTGAATCGTCTCTTTAACCACCTGTCCCGTGACCCGCCGCCAGGGCTCAATCGCGTGAATGTGACACAATTGGTTAACGCTGACAAGCAGGTGTTTGCACTGCTGGCCGAATGGGGTGTCAAACCAAGGAGGGATACCGCAGGCGAGTGTCCCCTTGACCGAGAGATGCACCGCGCTTTGGAATCCTACGAGGTGTCCATTGCCCTCATGCACCAGGCTCCCCAAGGCAAGTTCCCGTTCAAGAATAACCGCAAGCGTCATCCCTCTCGGCCTTCAACCCCCGATCCTCCTACGAAGCTCCCTAAAGGCAAAGGCCGAGGCAAAGGTGCCAAAGGTGGTCCTGCGATGCCCAAGGAGCTTGTTGACCTGAAGGCAAATGCCACCACACCTGAGGGTAAGAGCATCTGTTATGCGTTCAACTTGAAGGAGTGCAAGCGCACTGACTGCCCTCACCAGCACGTCTGTGCCAGGTGTTTCCAGCCGCACTCAATCCGCAAGTGTGCTGCCGCCGGCGCTTGAGCGCCTTCGATCCCCTCTGAAGCAGTTTTGCATCGTGATTCACTCTTGTCTGAGCCTGCCTCGTCTCTTGTCGCAACTGGAGACCTGGCTGATGCATGCAATCCCATATCCCCTCCTTGTGAACAGCACGCCCAAACCTTGCTTTCCCGCGGTGCCTTGTGTGCTGAGGATGTGTTGGGCTTGGTCTCTTTTCTGCAACCCGAATCACCTCGCTTCCCTGGTGAGTTTAGTTGGGCCACTGGAGCCTATGTGCATGGCGGCATAGTCGGCCTCCGACACAACCTCAATCATTTTCCACTTTCGTCTAAAGTCTTGGCGAGCTTTGTTTCGAATACATTCCCACAATTGGAGTTTACCTCCATCGTGGTTTTAGTTAACACCCTCACCCCTGCGCACCAAGACCTCAACAATCATTTGGGTTTCCCCAATGCTTTGATTCCGCTTAGTAAGTTTGAGGCCGGTGGCCTTTGGATCGAGGGCGCTGGTGAGGAGGTTTGTCCTGACCCAGGGCATCCCGACGCCAAGGGACATGTTCTGCAACTGCATGAGCCGATCCAGTTCGATGCGCACCGGCTGCATGCGACGTGCCTGTGGACAGGAAATCGCACTGTGCTAGCCGCTTTCGTAATCAATGATTTCCACAAGTTGGATGCTCAGTACCGCCAGCTTCTTCAGCACACTGCCTTTCGCTTGCCAAGCCTGTCTACTGGCGAGCTCCTGCCTTTGCGCCCAAGCATCGCTTCGCGATTCCCAGTGGTCCTTGAAATTTTTGCGGGTACAGCTCGTGTGACCGCAGCCTTGCGTCGCTGTGGCTTTGTCGGGGCCCAAGGTGTTGATCACGTGGTCGTGGATCATGCTGCCTGTCCTGTGCTGTTGGCCGATCTGACTACGCAAGAGGGCCAGCGTTTGACAATGATGTGGCTTTCCAGCCCTCATGTTGTGGGTGTCTTCATCGCTCCACCGTGTGGCACCAGCTCTCGCGTCCGGGAGATTGCGCTCCCTGGGCCTTCTCCCGCCCCGCTGCGATCACTAACTTTTCCCGACGGACTGCCCCATCTGTCTGGTCTCAACCTGGTGCGCGTCAACAGGGCTAATCAGCTGTACCACTTTACGACTACCATCTGTGCTGAGGCCCATCACCGCAACCTCATCATTGCCGTGGAAAATCCGCGGAGTAGTCTCTACTGGTCCACCAGCTTCTGGGCTGCTGCGGCCTCCTCCTATGCATACTGGTTTTCAACACTGTGCCTTTGGCGGTCGCCGGCCCAAGTGGACTCGCCTTTGCCACAACCACCAAGCCTTCCATGCTTTGCATCGCGTCTGTCCCGGCGGTGCCTGTGCTGCCCAACATTTGCCGTGGGGTCGTTCTGAAGACGGCTCCTTTGCCACCGCCAGTGCAAGCGCTTACCCGCCGCAGCTCGCCACCGCCATCGCTCAATGCTTCGCTAGAGCAGTTACTTTTCTGCCCGAGGCCGAGCCCTCCCTTGCAGCCATGAGGGCCACTTCCGGCCTTCAGCCCAAGGCTTCTGCCGTGCCGCCTCTTGTCCCCGAGCACAAAGCTGTGCTTGTAATGACCGGCCCAAGTGATGCCACTTCCTTGCCGACCCTTCGCGCCCGACTGCCCGAGCCGTGGTCTGACTCGCGCTTCGCGCCTGCTGGGCCCGTGCCAGCCCACAGTCAATTACTCCGAGCGGATAAGAAGGGAAGTGATCGACTTGAATTGGCTTGGGGCATATCTTGGTCTCCAGAAGAGTTCATACATAAAGCGGTTCAAGCGGGACATCCCAAAAAGTTTGACTCGCTACTGCCTTCCGCACTGAGCCACAGCATAGACGTAAATGCAAAAACAACGCCGGCCGATAGAGCCGGCCTCAGAGCCGAATGGTTTGCAAAGTGGACCGAACGTGCAGCTGAACTTTCGGGGGACGAAAAGAAGCTCAAGAGCTCTCTCCCCGAGTACGCCAGGAAGATCGTCCTACCAAAAAGGATTTTATTGTGGCGTGAGATTCTAGAGGATCTCAAATATCCTGACATTGGAGTGCTGGACGAAATGCTCGAAGGAGTGCACTTGACAGGTCAGACCCCTTGCACAGGGGTCTTTCCTGGGGCCTTTAAGCCAGCAAAAAGGACTTCGGAACAGCTGCGCTCCAAAGCTAGTGAGTCCCGCCAGAAGATCATCGATGCGATCAAATCGCAGGGTCACCTGGATGAAGCGCTAGAGCAAAAGGTCGACGAAGAAGTGGAACTCGGCTGGTTGTCCGAGCCGATAGACCCGGCCGATTTGCCGGAAGGCGCCACAATCAGCAGGAGGTTTGCGATCGAGCAGTCAGGTAAGATTCGCTTGATAGACGACCTGAGTGATAGTGGTGTTAATGGGTCTGTCCAAACCACCGAGAGCCCCAAACCTCAATCCCTCGATGTGGTGGCCGCCATGGCCTTGGCCTGTCTTAGACAGCTGCCTGGGACTCCCATGCTAGGGAAGACGTTCGACTTAAAGAGCGCCTACAGGCAAATGTTTGTGTCTCCAGACGACCTCAAGGAAGCTTACATTGCATACTTCAGCCACCGCGAACGCAAAGTGATCGTAAGGCAAATGCTTGCGCTCCCATTCGGGGCGACCAGAGCGGTGTTTTCGTATTTGAGAGTGGCGCACTCTATGTGGTACATTGGGTGCTGGGCACTGAAGTTGATTTGGTCGCATTTCTTCGACGACTTTTTGAGTCTGGCGACTCAGATCGAGGCCAAAGCAGTTGACCTAGCAATATCATCATTGTTCAGGTTGCTAGGGTGGAAAGTCTCGGAGGACAAAGACAAGCCCTTTGCTGAGAGTTTTGCTGCGCTTGGGGTACGGGTTAGCTTCGAACGATTTTTGCAAGGGGAAGTCCTGTTCCAGAATACGGACAAGCGCATCTTGGAGGTTTCGGCCACGCTCGCCATGCAGCTGATGATCCAGCTCTCACCCAGAAGGACCTGTCGCGCATTCGGGGTCGCATGGTCTTCGCAGGGGGCCAGCTCTTCGGAAGAGCCGGCCGGCTATGCGTGGCCGCCCTAGCTGGTGAAGGTTGCTCGACCAAGGCAAACCTTAGCAACGACGCGAAGCAAGCTATGCTTCAGTTTGCCGACCTGCTTGAAGCCAACTGGCCGCGCGTGCTGAGAGATGTGTCGGCAGATCCAGTGTATATCTTCACTGATGCCTCGTATTCCGAGGTGAGTGGAGGTACTTTCTGCGGCATAGGCGGAGTCTGCTTTGACCACAAAGGCCATCCCCTTGGATTTTTCTCCGAAGAATTGTCCTGTTTCCAGAAGCGTCTACTAGGAGAGGGAAGGTCCAAGACCATCATCTTCGAGGCGGAACTTGCAACAATCGTGATCGCTTATGTCCTATGGAAAGATTGGCTTAGGGGAAAACCTGCTGTGATTTTTGTGGATAATAACTCCGCTAGAGACGTGTCAATCAGTGGCACATCACGGAATGATGTAGGCAAATCGCTTGCATCACTTCTTTTAACAGTGGAATCCTTAGCCAAAACTTTTTCGTGGTTCGCTCGTGTTCCGTCACCAGCGAACATCGCAGACACGCCTTCGCGTGAAGTGCTGAAAAGCTTCACCGTGTCAGGTTGCCCCGTCCCTCACTTCCCGTGCGAGGACATCGTGTCCGAAGTCTTGGGCATCTTAGTCAAGTAATACAACGGATAAGAAGGGGAGAATTCTTGATTTCGGTTTACATATCCTTTTGCAGGCGATGTTTGTTCCGCCAGGCGATGACGTTCCGCCATCCGTAGCTGCAGGTTTGAGGCTAAATGCCTCATTGCACCAAGGTACCCCTTGTCACCGCTGGTGAAAAACGACAGAGGCTTTCAGGAGTGCTGTGTGTGTCGTGTCTCTCTTGAGTGTGAGCGTCGCAAGCCAAGCTACTAAGCCTTCAAGTGCGATCCCTAAATCGGCAGCCGTTTATGCTCAAGATATTAAGGAGGCCGTCAGTGCGAGCGCTGATAGTCCCTTAATATCTTGAGCGTGAATTTTCTTGAAAAATCGGGCCTGGATTTTTAAAGAAAATGGCTGCCAAAAGTTTTCTGTTGTGTGAGCGCCGAGTGTTGCTATATTGCATCTTCTGTCACCCGCGCTCGTCATCTCAAGGCATCTCGAAGCCGGTTTTGCATAAACGTCAGTGACACTATGCTGGACTTCACTGAACAAGCCACAAGTCTTGCACATGTAAGGTTGCAGAAATTTTTCTTTCCCCGCCCACCCACACCAATTGCATCTCAGACCTTGCTGCGAGTGACGCCCTTGCAGCCGAGTGCCGCATGCGTGAATCCAATCACTTTGCACACCCCAGCCGATCCGGTCAGCGCGACCGCGCGTGCTTCGCTCATAATGCGTTCTCGGGGAGAATTCTTGATTTCGGTTTACATATCCTTTTGCAGGCGATGTTTGTTCCGCCAGGCGATGACGTTCCGCCATCCGTAGCTGCAGGTTTGAGGCTAAATGCCTCATTGCACCAAGGTACCCCTTGTCACCGCTGGTGAAAAACGACAGAAGCTTTCAGGAGTGCTGTGTGTGTCGTGTCTCTCTTGAGTGTGAGCGTCGCAAGCCAAGCTACTAAGCCTTCAAGTGCGATCCCTAAATCGGCAGCCGTTTATGCTCAAGATATTAAAAAGGAAAGAATGTTTTTTCCGTTCAAATATTCAAGTCGAACATGAAAATTCTGCTTCGCTTCGAGGCTGTTTGAATCACATGTAACACGTCACGCAGCTTTTTGATTGGGCGATGTGGCGATGTTGCTTTTTTAGTGGATGTCGAACATGTGTGGGACGGAGTCTGCGCAGATGCACCAAGGTTTGGATGTTTAAGAGACCCAAGATGGAAGTGCATATTGACGAATGTTTGCAGTACGATGGTGCACTGAGTGGTAGCCGATGGTTAAGGCTGAAGGAAAGTGTCGTCAAATGTTGCGGCTCATTGGTGACTCTTGCAAAGCGCGTTTCTAGGCGGTGGCTTGTACTTAAACTTTGGGTCTAAAGTTGACGTGTTGTTACTCACTGTTTCTAGCTACTGCTTTTCTGCTATGCTGCTGCTCAGCACGGCGTCATTACCGCTGATCGTATTGGTACTGGGTTGTCGTTGACGTTGTTGCAAGCAGCGAGCCACCGCCCGGTTGCTCTCAAGCCAGCACTACGACAGTATTGAGAGACACGTGTCCGCACTGCATGCAGTAGGTTCCCCGCCGATTTCTTTCGAAACAGTGCGCAGCATGTCCCGAGCTTGTAAAAGGCAGCAGGTTTTTCCATTGTTGTTTGGCAACGCTCTGAATGGATGCCATATCTTAGTGCTATGAGCATGGCCTTTGCGAATGCCCAAGTCTCGGCCTCAATATTCACAAAGCGCCGCCTGATGTAAAGGTCATGACTGTTGGTGCATGATACCAGGTGCCATGTGAAAGACCAGAGACCACGCTTGGTGTGTCACAGGAAGCGAACAGTGCCTAGAGTTTATGTGGGTCCGACAGTCTCGCAACACAGGACATTGATTGGCATTTCGACGTTCCCAACGAGCATTCCAACCAGGCAGGCATATTCTTGATGTGCAACACGTCCATCTCGCGACATGCATGACTTCATTCAGGTAAACCCGACATCTCGGCGTTCGCGCTTGTCTCCGCATCCATTGTTAGTGCCGAAGCAGGCGAGACCCAGTCACTGTTCACAGTGCCACTGAACGCAAGCAATGCTGATTTCGAGTCTACAGGATCTTCTGGATCCCGATGTGTGCTGCTCTGAGTGGAGTGTCCTGCAGGTTTAAGTCCACAAGGTGTTCGTTCACCTGCATCGAGTTTTCCTCCACATGGTCAGGGTTACGGGCGTGCAGATGCCATCTACGCCAGCCAGGAAGTGTGCCCCGACAGCGCAGTGACTTCATCTCTGTCACAAGCATGATTGTAGAGCATTTACTGTACGCCGGCTTTCAGTTTGCGTCCAGTCCGTAATCCTGCAACACGGGGTTCAAGCCAGTTCAAGCTTGACAGAATGTCTTAGGGCCACAGTGAAAAACGAACATGGATGCGCACTTTACCATGATGTTTGCACTTGAGTAATTACATATGCAGCAGCACTAGCTAGCCAGAGCGCTCAGATATGGTGTGCACCCTGCTTGCGATTCTGCTCGGGTCTCTTTTGCAGCCTTGGCTGGAATTGCCAAGTATGTTTTTCTGCTGGACAGGTCTGTGCTGCAGCTGCGTGTTGTTGCACGGAGCATATTAGATGTGCCATGGGAGGCCATGACAGTGAGGTTTGCGCATGTTCGACCAAAAGTTTACAAGTGAAACGCAGGCTCGCCGCACCAACATTGTGCGAGTCACCCGTCCGGAGCCAAGGAAGTCATTGTGGGAAGTCAGAGTGCGATCGGCTCTCGTACAGGTCAGGAGTGTGACGAGTGTTCTACTCTGGATGATCTGTACCGGGCTTTCTCCTGAGAAATACGAGATGCTGCTACAACTCGTGAAGACATGGGGGTACATGTGAATCACTAAGGACAACCATCTCGTGTTTCTGTTATTTCACGAGCGCAACCTCGTGTCGCACCATGCCTACAAGGCTTTTGCCGTATTCCATGGAGTCAGCCGTTTTGCTCCAGAGCTTGTGTTTGTGACTCGGGGCAGGGAGCTATTGTCGCGGGTTTCCATGAGGTGCGGCACTTACGACGAACCAAACTTCCTACATGCACAGCATTTCACATGTCACCAGAGCTTATTTCGACTGCACGCGAGGTGTGCAAGGATCTGCGTTGGTCAAAGGTGGTTTCGATTCAAGATATCTGTGCCGCACTTCGAGTTGTTCTTTTCGCACGCCAGCAGGTGACTTGTGGCATTGTGGACATGCTGGAGGTGGCTTTTGATCGAGCGAGCGCAGGGATGCGTGTAGAAGTAAATGTCTCACCGGAATAATGCTTTGCCGTGTGGAACTTGTGCCGATGGCAGGACAGGGCATATGCCGAGAAGTATATTGATCCAAAGACGGCTCCTGCTCATATTGCTGTGCAGGTCTGTTGCTTACACAGCAACCAACAAACAGACTCAAATGGAAGTCTCTTCACGGCATGCTGTAGGCCGGGGAACCGGTGCCCTCAAAGAAAGAGTGGATCCAGAAACTCTTGGCCAAGCCTGGCGACAAGGATCTGCTTGGATTATTGGTTCTGAAGCGTAGCAGAGCTTGAATGACGTCTTATCGATCTTTCTGCTGGCCAGGGGACCATGCTGTGGCACCTGAAGCAGCAACTGGTGCCTGACGAGGCTAGACTCAGCCAGACCGTTTCAGCGACCAGCCAGCCTTGTCTTGTGCCAGTTGGGAGAAGCCTTGCAGATTTCCATGGAGATCTCGAGACTGGACATCTTGGAGCCCTTAGCCAGCAAGCACGAGGCCCGCCAAAGAACAGAGCTTGACGTGTCCTTGCCTTCGGTTCGCAGGTCCTCCTAGTTGCCAACTTGGCATCAGACGAAGGAGTTTCGCGGGCTTCGGTTGAGTCGTTCCGTGTCTGATGCCCAGATACCTGTCAGCTGCGTTGTCGGATGTGCATGCGAGACCTGCGCAGTGGACATGTTGAGGCCTTCGCCCAGCAGCTGCTGCTCCTTGGAAAAGTGCGGCGCTCAGGTTTAATGAGCTGTTACGGGTGCAGAGTGTTCGTTCCCGCAAAAAACAGGTTCCTGCTCAAGTTCCTGTCAGCCAAAAGGCAGGCGCTTCAAAGTTCCTGTCTCAGCTGTGTTGTCAGCTGCGGCCGAGGGGCGGCATTTGTCGACACAACATCCCATTTTGCACTGCCAGGAAAGCAGGAAAAAAGCAGCAGCAACTGCGCCAGAGGGCACGACTGTTATTTGCTGTCTTGACGCGAGCCTGGTTCCCAGTACGAGTCAACTTCATCAACATTTGGCTTGCAAGCTAATTCAAGAGTTCTGGTTCTTTCCTGTCGGGAAAGGACTCACCATCGGTTTCCGTGCCTCGTGGTCAGGCATTCTGTCCAATGTTTGATCACTGCTGAGACACCGCATACATAGAGCCTTGCAGCTTCGCAGATCGCGGCTTTCGTTCGTGGCCAAAGCCAGAAGCCCTGACATGCTTACGCAGTGTTCCCCTGGCCAGAACAGTCTTAGCAACGTTGCAGAGACTCCACGGATGTCCAGCCAGGCCTGCGCGGCAGCTCAAGGTAGCGTCTTGCCGTGATGCGATTCGTGAGTCGGGTCAGCACACGCGGCAGGCATGGGACTCTGCAGAGAACTTGGAGATCATGAAGGCTGCGCACACGCCAGAGAAAGTAGTTATGTGCATGCGTGTCGTTCCGCACAGTGCGATTGTTATTCCGATCAGTATGCGTTGACCTTGGAGGATGTTGCTCTCGCAGCAATCAATGCCGTACCTGCTGGAAAGGCATGGGAGAATCTGCAGATGCCTTCGTTCCAATCGCAGAGTACTTGTCCCTGCTTGCAGGTGCAGACGGAACAAGTTTCTGATCTCTGACGGGCCTGTGCCCTGCAGTTCCGTTATGCTCGGTGAGGGCAATCGGAGTTGCAGACCATACTGCAGTAATGCACGTACCTTCGGGAATGAGAGCTTCCTGGATGTCACGTCTGCATCCCCAGACGTTTGTTAGCGCAGTTATCATCTGCTGCTTGAACTAAAGACTGTGTGGCGCTCGGACGGCAAATACTGCCGGACGTTGACGCTGCCCATACGGGAAAGAAGGGAAGCTGCCAGTTTCGGTCTGTCTGGTGGTGGCTAGATGCTGGCCTTACTCAACATGCTCAACGCTGCGCAGAGCGTTCCAGACATGCTCTCCTTTCTCTTCACCGCTTTCCTGCCGAGCATCGATTATCAAGGCAGGAATATGGATCTGAGACTGAAGACGCACAGATTGCAACCCGGCGATCCATACCTGTGAGTTCGTACGTGCAAGGCCCCGTCTGCAAGCGGAGGCGAGAAGCGTTTGCAACAAATCCAACCAGGAAGTGGCACAGCCGAGCGACTCTTGGGCAATGTACTGCAGGCTGGGCGACACCTCTTCAAGTGCCAAGGAGGCAGGGTGAATCGGTGAGATTCAATGCGCATGGTTTAGAGTCTAATTCGCATCGCCAACAGGCCCATGTGGACTCGAGGTGCCTCCACTTCCAAGGAGCCCGCCACAGCTGCAAACTGCAAACTCGTGAGCTGACGATGTTGGCCTGCAGGAGACAGAGCAGCAAAGCCTTTTGGGAGCCGTGGCAGGCTGGAAGCACTGAGGTCGTTGTGTTGGCATTTGTGGGTGCTCTTGAAAGGCATCTATGCCGAGCTTTGGAAGGCGATTTGGCGTGACCAGTCTGTTCTCATGTGCAAGTTGGTGCCTTTACGAATCCGGAGCTGCGCAGGGCGCTGAGTGTGGAGTCCCAGAGTCGGTGACCTACGACCGGCGAGGGCCCAAAACGGGGCAGCCTGTCCCCCCTGGGAAAAGGAGGTTCCATCATTCTGGCAATGGTAGAGATGCCAAGCCTTGTGCAGCATTGACATGTTTGCGACATGCACATCTTCCTTCTTTCGCAGATACGTACATAGATACGTACATATACATTTTCATGTACAAACGTAAACGTAGATGTAGACATCGACATGGATATGTCTGACGGGCGTGCAGCTCATTGCAGCATGTTAACTCTTATTTTGGTTGACATGCCTTTGTCGGCCTGTTGCCCAAAGTGACGGATTTAAAGAGGACTCTGATCGAACATGTGTGGTCGTGGGACCCGAAAGCAAAGCCAGCTGCACACTACCTGCGAGGTCGGCAGAAATCGACCTGTCCCACGAGTTCCCACCGGAGCAGAGGGAGGCACAGGTTGACCCAGAGGCACACCATGCTTTCAAGCAGTTGCCGAAAGGACGCAGCTCGCTTGATGATTTAGGTGTCCTTTTCGGCACGTTCATGTGTGCTTGAGTCAGTCGTTGAGAACTCGAATGTTTCGGACTGATGACTTGGAATGAGCGGGAGGCAGCGTTTCACCGCCCACTGCACGTTTGCTTTGCAGAGACAGCTTCAATTCAGGCAGGGACTGGGAAGATGTCGACCCTCCGAAGTGCGATGCTTGAAGTTGCAGGTGGCCACCTGAGCCGCCGAAGGAGCGGCGCAGGCATTGGCGGAGGTGGCGATGAAGTACTCCAGAGGCTTCAGGTTCTTGCCTAGGAGATGCTAGAAGGGTGCTTCAGGGAACTCAGCAATGGAGGACGAGGGGTTCGAAGATCAAAGAACCTGGAGCTTGGAGCTTTCAGCGCAGGGGAAGTTATCTTCTGCTCTGCCGCCTGAGGCCCGTTCTGGGCCCAAGGCTTGAAAATGACAACAGGACACTCAGCCGGCAAAGCACCCGCAAAAGGACTCACAGCTTTGGCGTTGTCGCCATAAATGGCGTAGTGCAGTGCAGCCAGACGCAATGACCTCTCTCAGCCGTCCGGCTCCTCCCATAGCCGTCACAATAGTTGACACAGCAGTGTTGGGTTGGGTCTCGTCCTCTCCAGCCGCTCCAGCCTCAAGCCAAGAACCCTAGAAAGAACAGCAAGGCAAAGCCGTCAGCGGTTCTCATGTTTTGAGGGGGCACTTCTGCCAAGCGATCTTAGTCTTGGTTTCCGCTGGATGTGCATGGATGGCCTGGAGCTCATTTGCAAGGCCGCATGCAGAATGCACAAAAAGCAGCTGCCACACGAGGCAATGCGCATATCAAGCTCAGATACGGAGATCATGCCCAAGGCCGTGCGAAACCATGACTCGTGTCCGTGCATTCGCAGCCATGAAGGAATTTGTTCCATTTCTGGGTGGTTGCTTTCGCTGTTGTGAATTCAGAACTTCCCAAGCCTACTCTGAACTTGCAGCTCCAGCGTTCCTGAGAAGGGCGAAGATGAGGAAGAGGAGGAGGAGGACGACGACGACGAGTACATAGACGAGGCCGTCCATTTGATTGTGGCAGTTTAGAGATTCCACCTTCTTGGTTTGCTGTGATCATCTGTTCCCTGATTTAGGTTGTGTCTCCTCCCTTGGTGTCCAATCCGTGTGCAACTGGCATCTGCCTGAGCTCAAGTCCACTGTTGCGATCTACGCGAGCGCTGCGAGCTCATGCAGCTGTGGAGGTCCGAACTTCAACTACTGGGATCGAGGAAGACAGGTCCTTCAAACGGATTTGAACAATCTCCGAGTGCTCTGGTGCAGTTAGTGGGCCTGTTCCGAAGCTCGTCAAAGCGTTGGATCAGAAGCCGCCTGTGATCTTCTGTCTATGTGCCAGCAAGTTCACGGGCGGCAGTTGCACGCCGATGCCTGAAGGCAAGTCTGCGGAAGTTGGCGATCGACATGGCCAAGGTCACGCGAGGGGTGGCTCCAAATCAGGATCTGAAGCATCGCGCCCCGAAAGCTGCTTGAGCCGTCGCAGCTTCACGCTGCAGAAATTGATGTCATCCCGTGTCTTTTGTGGTCCATGATAGGACATCTTTAAGGTGAGAGAGAGAAAGAGAGAGAGCTGCACAAACCGAGCCTGTTGCAGTCCGGGTACATCCACAAGCTGTCGGCCATGCTTCGAGAGCACGATCCCAAAGCTCGGGCCCCAGCGTGTCTTGCTCACCCGCCGCTTGCCAGGCTAGAGGCTGTAGTCACTGATTTCCTGCAGGGTACGTTTGTGACAGGACGGTGCATTTTGTTCATCATTCATCAGCGTTCCAGCCACTTCTTTGAGGACGGTGCACGTACGATTTGTTGCTTGAATTGCCACGCCCTGGCTCAGATACTGCTTCTGCCTCCCAGACAAGACGCACAGGTCCGCCCTTCGCTTGCGTGGCGAAATCAGGGGGATATGCAACAGCAACACATGGATACTGCCGCCATCTTAAAACTACGTGATGATTTAGATTGTCAGGCAGCGGAATGATTAGGAAATGCCGCACTCGAAAGACAGACAGACAGAGACACAGACAGACAGACAGATACACTGCAGATACACAGACAGACAGTTAGTATGTTTACATGCATATACTTGTAGGTAAATAGATAGAGAAACTTGTAGATAGGTAGACACACGGATAGAGAAACTTGTAGATAGGAAGATAGACAAATAGATAGACAGATGGATTAGATTAGATAGATATAGATGGGTTTGATAGATTAGGTAGATAGATAGATAGATAGGCAGGTAGATATGAATTCCTCCGGCTTTCCAGCTCTCGCACTTTTGCCTGTTCGGGTGCTTTTGGCAGGTGGGTCCTCAGCAAACGCTCTTTTCCGCGGCTCAGGCACGGTCTTGTAGGAGGGGGGTTCATCATGGTCAGGGTGTGAGCGTAGGCTCAAGCCCGGTTTTCTAAACGTTCTCAGGCGAGTGGCCACACAGCAGTGGCAGAGGTGGTGGAAGAGGCTGCAATGATTGTGGATGTCGTTACCTTGCACGTTTGTGGCACGTGCCGGCTGGATGTCAGGCTGCCACAGATCTGCTGTTCAGGGAGTTGTCCAAGTTGACCTCGATGCAGGAGGTTGAAGATGACATCGTGCAGCAGTGCTTGCATGCAGGAGCTAATCCCACTCGTCCGGGCGGAGCTCATGGCCATCTGCCTCTGCAGCATTTGTGCATTCAAGAGATGCGCAAGCCTGCAGATGTATTCACAGCGAAGAAGGTTGCGCAGGCGGCATCTCAGCTGGCAGAAGCCGCGCCGCTTGTCCTTGTCATGGCCTTTGCAAGACCGGCAGCGAGGGCAGAAGTTACGCTGCCGCTGGGTGCGGCGGCGTGCAACAAGAGTTTCGGTCGAGATATCGTGCCGGTCCTTAGCTTTGCCGTTTCTCGGCTCTTGTTACAAAGGCCTGCCCTTGCCGCAGCGCCACTTCTGAAGGCCTCTGTTGAAGCCGCCCACAAACACTTTCCCAACGTTCCTTTCGTCCTGCCACTGGTTGAAATCCTTCGTGCTGCTGCACCCTGCCTGGACAGCGCCATTGGTAGCCATGCGGGCAAGGAGGTGCAAATATGGGAGCCTCGCTGTGCCTACGAGAACTGGACACAGCGCAAACAGAGGCTGGAAATCCTGCGGCCTATGCTCTCCCAAGTCCATGGCGCCGACGCCAGCTGCGAGCGGGAGGAAGCTCTTGCCAGACTGGCTGAAGTGGAAGCCGTACTGGATAGAAGACGTAGGCAACATTCCGAGCAGATTGCAGAGCTGCAGATGGCACTGGACAAAGCTCAGCGTGCTGCTGAGGAGGCCAGTGCCCAGGTGCAAGCTGCGCTTTCTCAAAGATCTCAGCGTTCCTCGCAACTCCGTGCGGAGCTGCACGGCGAGGTGCATGCTGATGGGAAGGGTGACGTCGGGTTTGGCCAAAGTCCGCCAAACACTGGGTCGCCACCACCGGACGCGCCTGTGGAACTGTTACGAAATATTCGACAGCAGCGTGGCCTGGACATCGACTACAGCACTGTGCCGCCGGCAGTGCTGCAAAGTGCTAGCGCCATGCAGCGGAGCATCGGGGTGAGCACCCTAAGTGCGGGAAGCCTCTTTTGTCGTCTTTCGTGTGCGCTTTGTTGTGCTTTTTGTCTGAGGCTGCTGTCGAAAGGCTGGCCATCGACTTGTATGCCTCTAAGGGGCACTTCCTGTTGGAGCTGATCCAGAACGCGGACGACAATCGCTACAACACCTCAGGCCAGACGTCTCTCTTCCGCTTCACATCGCTTAGCCTTAGAAGACTGCTTCCTTTCCCCATCGACTCAGCATGGAGGCGCCGAGCCTGCAATGACAATGCACGTGGGCTCCGCTGAGGAGGGGAATCTGGGTTCAGTTCATTAAAGCAACATGATCGTGCCAACAAGGGCACGTGTATGTGTGCGTGCGGGTGTGTTTGTGTGTTGTGAAAGCTTCAAAATACTGATAGCTTACGTGAATGTGAGTGTTTGTGCATGGTATTTACTATGGAGACAAGACATTGAAGTTGCAGAAGCTTTTCAGGGATCACGGTCCCACTTTAAAAGTAAGCATGCGCGACAAGCAGGGCAGGGGTGTCCGGAGTATGAGGATGGACTTCCAGGCTACCACTTTTGCTTGTTTTGGAGTCGTCACGGGAGTCAGCGGACCACCCCCACCACTTCTCCAAACCGATACGACTATCAAAGCATACCTAGACCAGGCGAAAATCGACATCATATAACCACGCTCACAGCGCCAACTCTCCACCATCTCCCCCGGTGCCCATAAAAACAAAGGGGTAGGTACTTTCAGCAATGGCATGGTTGTATGCTCACATGTATATATGTCCGTTGCTCGCTGGCTCAAGTGGTTTTACCGACTTGACACAAGCTCTCTCTGCGTAGCAGAACAAAACACTTGCTGTCCGTGTGCTGGGCGTTGCCTTAGATCCCACGGGACTTAAACTGGTCATACACTCCCACAGGAGTAATCCTAAAGGGGTGTATCGGCTCAGTTTTCTGGTAGCGGAGCCCGGAAGGGCCGCCCGCTTCACATAGCACCGCAACAGCGGTCGGCATCCAGCCGATCGCTTAACAAAGCGGGCTGAGGCAGCACCATGTCGAGCTCGCCTAGCGAAGCCGACGACAGCTCCCAATCCTCCGGGGGATATGAGGACGAAGAGACCTCACAAGGTCCAGCCACGTATGTCGCACAGTCATATGCATCATCTGACCGCATGCTAGCCCAACTAGGCATCACGCCCAAAATCGCGCCTGCCTATGATGGCACCACTTCGTGGTTTGAGTATGAACAGTTGATTGACGACTGGTGTGACATTACAACGCTGGATGAAACCAAAAGAGGTCCGTCTCTCAAGACGAGGCTCTCCGGATTGACCGCAGTACAAAAGGAATCACTGAAACCGAGAAAAGGCTGTTTCAGCCCCAGATGGAGTAGATTACTTCAAGGAGAAGATGCGTCCATTTTTCGTGAAAGGAGAACAGTACGTTTTCCTGTGGCGTTTCCTCGGCCTATTCAAGGCATGGAAGGGCAACCAAGACTTTGTGACTTGGATTGCCAAGTTTGAGATCGTGCTACAGCGCGTGAAAAACTCATGGATGGATCTCTTACCAGAGATAGCTCTGGAGGATGCCCATCCAGATTTCATGCAAGCTGTGCAAGCAGACCAAACCTTCTTGCGCATGCAGGATGCAGCCGAGAGAGACACATATGCCGCACGCTATTTCGAAACATGGAACAAGGAACGCCTTGACAATCATCGAAGAGCGTTTCCTCTGAACGATAATCTCCTAGCTCTCCTCTTCCTAGTGCAGTCCGACCTAAATGAGATGCAACGGGGAGTTTTGTAAACATCATTTGACCCAAACCAAGGTCACCGATTTAGACCTACACGTACCCTGTTGTACGGCAGACCATGTTCGGATCAGTTTTCGCAACGACCAGAACTGGTCTGGCAGGATCCCAACATTCGGCACTCTTCTCACAAAAGACCGCCATGGAAGGGTAGAGACCAAACGCCGTAAACGCGTAGGTCTAAACTTCCTCATCCTCTCATGGTGAATACGATGGAGTCGATGGATCTGGCTCCAAGACGAAGACACCCTTGAGGAAGGCTTCTTGGCCGCCGAGGATGAATAAGCTGTCTTTCTGGACAGTTGATGACCTGAGGCCTTCGTTGCAAGGAGGTCAAAAAGGGAAGAAAACCAAGAATGCGTCCCGGTCACCGAAATAGCAAGGTGGCAATCGAAAAGGACGGGGCCGTTTTAGGTCATACCGCGGAAAGAAAAAAGTGGGAGCCAACCAATCAGACATTATCCAACTGATTCCAGCTATTTCGTAAAGGTAAAGGAAAGGAAAAAGGAAAAGTGGAAAGGCAAAGGAAAAGGAAAGACAAAGGGGATAACAGAATGCTCCTTCTAAGGCCGCAAGTCTAAAGGAAAGGTAAGGATACAAGCTCGTCCGCCTCCTTACAAGGAGACCAAACTGTAATTCTCCACAGGCCTATAAGTTCCACGCCCCGAGCTGGGATTCATGGTATGAGGACAGTTATTATAACTGACTCAGTTTTGGAATTTATGCCGCTTATGACCGATCACACGTCCCCTTATACATCTATGCAGCAAAACAGAGGAGCAAGCCTCACGAAGAAAAACAAGGAGAAAGAAGAGAAGAAATCAAGCAGGATCATCAGGTAGAGGCACAGATCCGAGCGCGCACCAAGAACCCGTGTTCAACTCATCAGTGAGTTACGTGCCCCAGGTCTTTGAACCATCCGAGGGGCAAGGTGTTGAAACTGCAACAGCGGTTTTTCCGTTGCAGCACACCGTCCTATCTGCTCTCACAGAGCGGATCAATCTTGATAAGAACCCTACCTTTGTCATACTTGACTCAGGTTGTACTAGGGCTATGGGTTCCCGCTATGCGGTGAACAGGCTTATCAAGTCCGTGAAGCAACGTGCCCCAGGCATGATTGATTTCACTTTCTCACCTTCGAACACGAAGTTCTCTTTCGCAGATAGTGAAACAGCTCTTATCAAGGAGCGTGTAACTCTATGGTTCAACACAACTCCAAGAAGAGATACAACCATAGAAGTTCTGGATCAGGGGAGAGTTCCCATTTTGTTATCCATCGAACAGATGAGGAATCTAAGAATGACCCTCGAGTGTAGTCCCACAGCTGACCTAGCAACGTGTGAAGCTTTCGGTTTGTACAAAACCCCCCTTCCGATTAGTACCAATAACCATTTGGTATTGGACCTTCTAGGCTTCACTTCCACCAGGAAGTATCTCCCTAAGTCAGGTACGTCGTTCAGTGCGCCGGAGACTGCTCTAGGAGCTAAGAAGCCAAAGGAAGAAAGAAGATCTTATACTAAGATCCCGGAAGGTCGCTGTCCAGCCTGCGCAGGACAGAAAAAGCCTCAGACGTTCCTCAAAGGTTGCGACAAAGCACCTGAAGGAGCAGCTGATCCACCACCGAAGGGCATTCCAGGTAAGAAGAAGCCTCTTCCATCTGATCCGGCTGAATCATCTGCCAAGAAACCTGATCCACCAGAACCATCTGGTGATGCTCCTGAGCCTTCCGAACCATCGGAACCATCATCAGGCTCTAGAGACAAACCTGCAGAATCATCTGCACCGCACGAACCTACAGAAGAAGAAAGACTTGAGGTTCCACCTGCGAAGACAAAGACTCCAAAGGGTCTTAAAAACCTTCTGAAGAAAACCCGCAAATATGCGGTCAAACCTCCTGTTGAGGAGAAGTCTATGGTCCCAGGAGCTGATGACGGGACGGAGGTAAGACCCACTTGAGCCAGAAGCAATCCCGGCTCCTGTTACACTCACCTACAGGTGAAGAGATTGTCGCAGACCTCGCCCATCCTTCCCATTGCTCTTCGCATGATTCATGAGAAGCTTAAGGACCCTGTAGAACTCTATAAGCTTCACCTTAAGCACCGTCATATGAGTACGGATCAGTTCAAGCGCCGCACGAAAGCCTTACAGATCCCAAAGGAGATATATGAGCTATATGACCAACTGGTCAAAAAGTGTTCAGCCTGTCAGGAACACGTGAGAGCTCCTTCAAGAGCGAAGATTTCCGGTTTAAGATCAGAGACTTTCGGTGATCTCACCTTCGTAGATCACGGTGAGCTTCCAATTCCCGGCAAGAATAGTCGCTTAATATTTCTTATTCTCTATGACTGAGCAACAAACCTGTTGACTTCCGAAGTAGTCCAGGATAAAGAAGAGCATACTACAATGTCGATTATGAATGACTACTTTGAGAAATTTCAGATCAACCCAAAGTTTGTAGTTGGAGATCAAGCATTCATGACTCCAAAAATGGAGGCTTATTACAATCGGCAGAATATCAAGCCTGTAGCAACAGGACCTGGAACACCATGGCCCAACAGGGCCGAAGCTGCTGTACGATTGCTGAAGCATCAGATTAAGATCATACTTCAGATCCTGAAGGATGGTGACCCGCAGTATAACGGAATCACCATGAAGTATGGCAACCTCGTTCGACAAGCATGTTTGGCAAGAAACTCTTCGATTACCTATGGAGGAGTTACTCCTTTAGAAATGGCCTTTGTTAGGCGTCCTCGAGATGTTATAACACCAGAGAACGCTGATCCCAATCAGTTGACAGGTAATCCAACTGATACGGAAGTCACTGCGAGAGCCATTAAGGAGCGTGCCAACAGGGCTTACCAAGAGGCACGCCAATCTGATGATCTGCGCAGAGATCTTGCGGCCAGACTGTCAATGACCGAAGGACCTTTCTCTCTGGGAGCCAAGGTTTTCTACTGGTCAGAGGATAAGTCTAAGATTGGATCAACTGGGTCCAAACATGGATCTTGGCTAAAAGGAAAGGTGATCTCCGAACTCGGAGGATCCATGGTAGGTGTGGATCTTGGAACACGCATCGTCCGCGTTAATATCTCAAAACTGAGGAAAAATTATGACATAACATCTGATGTGGAGATTCCTCTCGCGACTGATGAGGAAACTCTGACGTCAGAAGGTTCTGATCACGCAAGTTGCATGGTCACCTTTGATGCTTCCCTGCAGTCGACAGACCTAACGGTTCCGCATCAAGAGTGTCACTGGCAGGTCACCAGCACTGGGAAGATTGACTTCCTAGAACTCTACGGTGGATCTCCCCGTATGAGTCACAAGGCTGCCCGGTCAGGTCTGCGAGTAGGTCAGCCAGTCGACTTGCGTAGTGGTCTAGATCTTGAGCAACCGCAAGGTCGCTCCAATCTTCTTAGGATCATCAAGGAACAAGAACCTACTATTATTGTTATGTCACCCGATCACTCTCAGTGGTCTAGCTGGT